CCCAGGCTCCCCTGCCCATCCTCACCTAGCGGGCCCCCAGGCTCCCCCGCCCATCCTCACCCAGCGGGCCGCCAGGCTCCCCCGCCCGTCCTCACCCGGCGGGGACCCACCTGGCCCTGCGCTTGCGCACCCTCCGCTCATGCTCGGCCTCCTCATAGTAGTACTCGTTGTGGCTGTTGTCCCGCCGCCGAGCCGCCGCGGCGATCACAGCCCGGGACTGGCCTGTGGAGTTGTTGGTGCTGTTTTCTGCGCAGGAGCAGGAGACGGGCACAAGTCACTTCAGGGCATGCTCGCTTCCCATCCCAGGAAGTCTGGAGACAGCAACCTGACGCATCCGGAGGAAGCTGTGCCCACCCCCGGGCGGTACCGCCACTCCCAACCCTCCTGGCCACAGCTGGGAGAGGCCCACAGGTCGGCCACCGGGAGCGCCCCGGAGGACAGGAGTCCTGCACATGCTCCTCCTGGTGCAGGAGGACCCGGAGCTCAGAGAGCTGAGGGCTTAGGACCAGAGCTGGTGAGCAGATGCAGAGAAGTCAGGATGGGGCGGGGGACACGCCGCAGCATAAAGGGACAGCGAGGAGAATCAGCAGCTAACACCAGCCACCTGGAATCCAGGGAAATGACAGAAGAAACGGGGCTGGGGAAAGCAAGGGAAGAGGCTGACAAAAACAGCAAGCAGGGTGAGCAGAGCGAGCAGGTACAGAGCCCTGCTCCGGGAGGGGACGGACGACGGGAGGGCAGGGGAGCAGGGCCGCTCACCCTCTCCGAGGGAATACACCTTGAAGCCAGACACCTTCTTGGCCAGGACGGACTTGGGCAGGTTGAGGAGGGCAGGGTTGTAGACGGGGAAGTCATGGTAATACTTCTCCAGGATCCACACTGCCACGCGCTGGATGCTGTGGGGGAGATGGCAGGAGGGGGAGGGAGAAGGGACAGACAAGGGGTGCCGGGGGAGGGAGACATCAGGGCAGATGAGCAGGGCCGGAAAGGACAAGGACAGGGACAAGCTGCTTCCAAGAAGCCTGGCTCAGGGCCTGAGGTCGACTTACCAGGCTCCCAAGCCTTCCCCAGGGCTGGGCCCGCTAGTCCTTCCCTGCTGTGCTGAAGCCCAGGGGAGAAAGGGCATTGGGCCTGGGTCCCCCAAAAGGGTCACCTCACCCCCTCCAAGACTTCCCCAAGATTCCCTCCGGGACCAGGAGGTGCTCCTGATACTCCGTATGGCCTGGCGGGGGTGCAGAGGAACTCCCCCGTTTTCTTTTCCTCTGGGGGTCCCTCCTCTGGCCAGCTCATCTCAGTGACCACTCACTTGAGGGCTCACCAAGGCTGTGCCTCCAAGAAGGCCAGGAAAGTGATTCCCAAAAGCCCCCGTTCGTGCCCCTTTGGTCCAGCCCTCTTTAAGGTCCCCACTGGTTCACTATTCTCTCCCCACTGCTAACTCCCAGTCCAACCTGCCCCGGGACCCTGCGCTGTTGAAAACCTCCTGTGTGCCAAGTATCACACTGCCGCCTACGGCCCTCCAGCTCCTCCCCGCCCGCCCCACCGGCCTCTCACGGCCCTGCAGGCCCCTCGGCCTCCTCCCAGGCCCGCGCCCACACCTGAGATGGCCCACGTTGTAGAAGCGGCTGGCGCCGTCGGTGGAGCGCACGACCTTGAGCGTGAACTGCGGCTGCAGCTGGCGCAGCTCCAGCAGGACCACGGCCAGGTAGTGCACGAAGAGCAGGGCGTCCACCAGCGACACGGCGAACTGGACCACGCCCTGGTAGCTGCGCTCGCGGGCGTCCAGGATGCGCACGCCGTAGAAGAGCCAATAGGAGACCACGAGCAGGAAGACGAGCACCATGAGCAGCGCGCGCAGCGCGAACACGCGCGGCAGCGAGGCCTTGGGGCGGCGGAAGAACAGCGCCCAGCTGCCCAGCAGCAGGATGAGCAGCTTGAAGGCCACGGAGATGAAGAGGCCCTCGCAGGCCGTCCCGCAGGGCTCCAGCTCCTCGCGCCACAGCAGCGGGGGCAGCAGCAGGAAAGCCAGCGGCGTGAGGAACGAGAGCAGCGCCAGCGTGGCCCCGGCCGCCACGCCCAGGTGGCGGGAGCAGTCCAGCGGGACACTGTCCTCCATGTCCTTGGCGATGCGCGTGAGGTCATCGTGGGAGATGCTGTGCTCGGAGGTGCCCGTTACTACTGTGGTAGTCTCCCCCCAGTTGTCATCCTACAGCCAGAGGGGCCGAAGCCCGGGGGGAGGGGAGGGAGGAGGAGGGGAGGAAGGGGGAGGGGAAAAGGAGAAGAGGGAGGGGAGATAGGGGAGCGGAAGGGGAGACGAAAGGAAGGGAGGAGGGGGAGGGGAGGGGAAACGGAGGGCGAGGCAGGGCAAAAGAGAGAAGAGAGGGCCATCAGCCCATATGCAACCACCAAAATATTTACTGAGCTCCTCTCTGTGTCCAAGCTTGGTCTCTGCAGGGCTGGCGCCTCTGAGACCTGGACCCTCAAGGCACACAGTAGCGAGCTGGGGAAAGAACACCAATGCCCAAATCCCCAACCACCTTTTTTTTAAAAAACCAGATGAGGGGCGCCTGGGTGGCTCAGTCGTTGGGCGTCTGCCTTCGGCTCGGGTCATGATCCCAGGGTCCTGGGATCGAGTCCCACATCGGGCTCCCTACTCGGCGGGAAGCCTGCTTCTCCCTCTCCCACCCCCCTGCTTGGGTTCACTCTTTGGCTGTCTCTCTCTGTCAAATAAATAAATAAAATCTTTAAAAAAATAAATAAATAAAAATTAAAAACCAGATGATTTGGGGGCACCTGGGTGGCTCAGTCTGTTAAGCATCTGACTTCAGCTCAGGTCATGATCCCCAGGTCCTGGAATCCAGCCCTCCCCACAGTGGAGAGTTGGCTTCTCCCTCTCCCTCTCCCCATCCCCCTGGTCATGTGCTCACTTGCACACTCTCTCTCTCAAATAAATAAAATCTTTAAAAAAGTAATAAATAAATAAAAACCAGATGATTTTACTGTTCATCCAAAATGGAGAATCACTGAATTCACTTAACAATCCCTAAGACCTGTTTACTCATAATGTGATCTGCGGACCAGCAGTGTGGATGGACATCTCCTGGGAGCTTGCTGGAAACGCGGCTTCTCAGGCCCCACCCCACGCTGGCGCACCAGAAGCTGCATGTTAACAAGACCCCCATGAATCACTCAAACATTCAGAGGCTGGCAGGGTGCGCTGAGGCACCCAGAGGACGAGCAGGGTGCGCACGCCAGGAGCAGAGCCGGGCATGGCCAGCTGGAGCCTGAGCAGGCTACCTGCAAACTAGGCTAAGCCAGAAGCACCTGTTCTCCAGACCTCAAGCCACTCAAGGTTTCTGACTAAGGGAGTGACCTGAAAAAAAGCAGTGTGGCAAAGGGAAGAGGACCCCGGAGGGCAAAGAGGGAGAAGGCAAGTGATCAGTGTAGGGCATAGGAGATGACACACTGGGGCCACCCTGGGTCTCTGGTCTGCCCGCAGCACAGAGCCTGCCTGTTCCTGGAGGCAAGGGGGTAGACAGGCTGAGGTCCCCAGCGTCCTTCTGAGTATGGTTCACTCGAGCAATTTCTGCAGAGGCCAGACACCATCCCACAGAGGAGCCCCAAGACCACCAGTAGCCATCAGTGCCTATACCCTTCATGGGAATAGAGAGACTCTCAGGACTAAGGCACCGACTGGGGAGTGTAGGAGATGCCTGGCAGGGTCAGTGATCAGGGGCTTCCCAAGGACAGGAGCAGAGTCTGATCTGATGAAAGAAAGTGGGTGCACTGACCACTTTCAGCTCGAGGAACTGGATCAACTCCTCACTCTAGGCTGACGCCCCCAACACACACACGCTGCCTACCCTCTCCAAGGATCAAGGGTTTGTGGCCTCCTCCCCCACAGCAGGTGAGCTGACCATGTCTCGGGGTCCTTCAAGAACTCAGGAGGCCAGGTCTCAGGGAGAGGACAGGACTGGGAAAGAGGGAGAAAGAATATTTCCCTTAGGTACTCATCTGCTCCCAAGACCCAGAAGTCCCAATGTCAGTCACAGAGATTTCTTGTGAGGGAAAAGGAGCTGGGAGTCTCCAGCCTGAGATGCCCCCAAGAAGGAAGAGCGGGAGGCACGAGACGCAGGCAACCTCAGTCACTTCAAATCCTGCCTCTGCCCTAATCCAGCACTGCGTTCTGCCTACTGACCTCCCTGCTGGTGAGCACGGTGGGCCACAGAGGTTGGAGCAGGAGCAACCTGCTCACCGCCGCCCCCCTCCAGTGACAGGGTCCTTCGGGGTGCCCCCTGCTCCCCCTCCTTTCTCCACCGACTCCGCCCACACCTGCTTCCCTCCAGACCCAGGCGATGCGATTCTGCAGGCCGACACCAGAGGGCGCGGCAGTGCCCACGCCTCAGGGCTCAAGGAAAACTCAGCGCTGCCCTCCCTCCCAGACCCCACCCACCGCGCCCTCCTGCCCCGGTTCCCGGTCCACCAGACTGGCGGGCCTCCGTGCAGAGGAGCCAGGCAAACGCCCATGACACAGCCCTGGCCACCTTACCTCTCTGACATAAGGAGGAAGAAGCTACGGCTTCCAAAGGGATCTCTACTGAAATTCCCTGGATTCCACTGAAGCGGGGTCCTACCTTGGGACACCAAGCGGAACCAGTGTGACACAAGATGCCCTCCCTGATAGGGCCTCTGTCCGAAGAGACCAGGTGTCCAGGCCCCTCCCCATCGGATGGACCTCCAGCTTCACGGAGCAGCCTGAAATCACCTGGCCCGGACCCCTTGCCCGCGGATGCTCACCCGCTCATCCCCTCGCGTGGACTCGTTGTCCAGCAGGGGCTCCCCTGGAGCCTGGATCGTCACCGACTTGTCCCCGCGGCTCCCATCTCGGCTCTTAGAGCGGTGCCGGTCCCGGCGGTCCCTGCGGCAGGAGGCCAGGGGAACAGGCACAGAAGGTCAAAGGGGGGACCTGGGTCTTCTCAGCAGCCCCTGTGCGCGCCCACCTCTCAAGCACCCGCAACACACCCTCCAGCACCCACATCACCCCCATGCCTGCCCACCTGTGCTTGCGGGAGCTGCGGGAGTGGCCCGACTTGTAGGAATAGCCCGAGTACTGGGACTCGGTGTCCATGGCGTCTGAACGCCGCGCCTTATAGCGCTCCAGGGCCACAGGCTGGGGCCTTTTGGGGGGCCCCACAGCCACCTCCTTCAGCACCGGCTTCTTCAGGCCAAGGGGCACCTTCAGGAAGTCAACCGTCACCCTGAGGGACTCTATTTTGCTGGACGAGTGGGCTTTTCTCAGAGAAAATGAAGCGGCGCTCCTGAGAAAAGGAAGCAGCTGGTTAGAAGTAGCTGGAGCTCCCCGTGAGGTCAGGGCAGAGAGGAGGACAGTCCCCAAAGGGCAGCTGCAGGAAGCCTAGCCACAACCTCAGAATATTCCATCCAGGTTCCAGCTCTGCCCAGCGGGCCCAGTTGCTCCAGCCCTGCCTCCAGGGGGAGCACCCCTCGGCTGTGCCAACGGGGTGCAGGGAAGATGGCCAGCAAAGGCCACTAGGAACGACCTGACCCTGGACGCCCCGGGGCGGAGAACCAGGGTAACGCCTTCCTTATTCTCAGCCAGGAAAACCATGGCTCAGAGAGGGCAGGTTCTGGCCGGGCTGACAGGTTGGACCAATAGAGACCTCACGCAGCAGAAACCCGCTGGCTTCTGTAGAGGCCTCTCCTTCCCCCTGACTCACAACTTCTGAGGATGCCCACAGAAGGAGGGCTCTTGTCACCATCTTGCCACCATGTCCATCAAACAGACCTGTAGCCACGGGCCAGGTCAGCCCGGCTGCTCCCCATGAGGCTCAGGGGTGTATGTGTGTGTGTGTGTGTGTGTGTGTGTGTGCTTGGGCCAGGTCAGCCTGGCTGCTCCCCATGAGGCTCAGGTGTGTGTGTGTGTGTGTGTGTGTGTGTGCTCGGGCCAGGTCAGCCTGGCTGCTCCCCATGAGGCTCAGGTGTGTGTGTGTGTGTGT